GTAGATAAATTGTATTTATCACATAAGACATCCATACTGTTTAATGATTGTGTTTTACAAGAGTATCCCCTTTAATTAAGATTAATATTTTTACAGGAATTTACTGTATATGAAATAGTTGTTGTAGTAGTTGTGTAAATCAATCTCATTTAGAAAAAATAGTTATTGGGGTAGTTTAGTCGAACAACAGGCATTTAAAACCATTTTTATTCTATAAATTGAAATTTCCACTAATGTAATGATAGCACAATACAAAATTTTGATTCTTGTTTTATTGAAAATAAAATGAATTTTATTATTAATATTATTGTTATTTATTTAAATGATAAAAATAACAGAAATGAAACATGAAGACAGGTCAGGTCATACAGAAATATGTTACAGTGAATAGACTATTCAATTGAAGCTAAGTTTTTAACTATCTAAAGATTAAAAGCGCTTTATACCAATAGGAAATTCATAAGCATCTGGTAGTAGTGATTACTCATTCTGTTTATGGGATGCTAAGATTGGATAATTACTAAATATTTAGAATTGAACATAGATCTTAAATTCCCATATTGTTTAAGAAATACCAAATTTTTATGGTTTCATATTAATTCACTTATGAAGACATAAAACATTTAAATATTATGTTAATAAAAAAATTGAATTGTGATATATATTTTTTTTATATATTATCAGCTCATTCACTAATAATCGTACTCCATAATCGGATTGAACAATCACCACTACTAGATACTAAAGTAGTTCCATCTGGCGAGAAGCATACTGAGTTGACACATTTATGATGACCATCCAGTTTGGCTTTTTATTATTCAGTCTTAACATTCCATAATCTGATCGACTTATCACTACTACCAGAGGCTAAATTAGCTCCATCTGGTGAGAAGCATACAGATCGAACATAATCACTATGACCTTCCAATTTGGCTTTTTATTATCCTGTCTTAACATCCCATAAACGAATAACCTTATCATCACTACCAGATGCTAAAGTGCTTCCATCTAATGAGAAGCATACTGAGTTGACCCAATTACTATGACCTTCTAATTTGGCTGTTTATGAATGTGTCCTAATATCCCACAATCGGATAGACTTATCACTACTGCCAGATGCTAAATTAATTCCATTTGGTTAGAAGCATACAGATCGAACATAATCACTATGACCTTCCAATTTGGCTTTTTATTATCCTGTCTTAACATCCCATAAACGAATAAACTTATCATCACTACCAGATGCTAAAGTGCTTCCATCTTATGAGAAGCATACTGAGTTGACCCAATTACTATGACCTTTTAATTTGGTTTTTTATTATCCTGTCTTAACATCCCATAAACTGATTGACTTATCATCACTCCCTGAAGCTAAATAAGTTCCATCTGGTGAGAAGCATATTGAGTTGACACATTTATAATAACCATCCAATTTGTTGTTTTACTATCGTGTCTTAATATCCCATAAACGGATTGAGTTATCACTACTACATGAAGCTAAAATAGTTCCATCTGGTGAGAAGGATACTGAGTAGACAGAATGAGTATGACCTTTCAATGTGGCAAATTCTTGGTTTGGATTTCTAAATTATGATTCAAACTTTTTACTTAAATAAAGACTTCATCTTATTTATTTATTTATTTATCTTTTTAAGATATGGCTTACTTTCTTAATCCAACCAATTTTAAATTTTCTCCATCTCCATCATTGATGTCTACTTTTCAGCATCTTCCTTTTCAATCCAATCGTATATTTAATTGATAGTTTCTGTTATATTCTCTTATATGGTCTTCAGCATTGCTTGGGCTTGAAAGAACATTGATTTAAAAGCTGTTTTATATTTACTTATCTCGGGTTACATTCTCTTTATTATTAATATTGAATTTCTATTAGTCTTTTATTGACTTTTAAATTTTTTATAATAATGTAACGTTAAAGTGAAACTTTTTGAGAATTTAGATTTAATTCTACTTTAGGTAGAATTGACAATTATGAAATCTAATCAAGACTTGCATTCCTCGATTCTTAGTTGATTAAAATTTCTAAAGTTTAAATAATTTTTAAAAGGAAAATTAAAAAGAAAAGAAATGGTAGCATAAGTTTTATTACTCGAAAAAAAACAATTTCCATTAACAAGAAAACAATACAGTTGATCAAAACATATTCCAAAAAAAGTTTAGCTCTCAATCTAGGTGTTAAAATTATATATAATCTGGAATCATATTAATATTTTATATTTGATAATTTAGTTTATAATTTGATGAATTAATAAATCTAATATCAATAAATTAAATAAACTTTCTGTTTATCAAATAAAGGATTATAATAAGTATGATTTAATTCAAAAGGTGAGACATCTAGAGAGTGTATTTTAGAATAACTTATCGTTGAATTTATTATATTTGTTCTTATTCCTATATAGAATTATTCAATTATTATGTATTTTTATGCTATTTTAAATCATAATGGTGATGAGTATTTCAATAATCATTTTTTGATAATTTTTTTTGCTATACAAATATTATTCTTTTGCCTTCTTGTGTTATTATCTATAAAATAAACTTATTTAATATTTATTTCAAATCTATTCTCTATATATTAATAGAAGATATTTTTAATAGAAAATTATTATCCTCCTAATATGCTTAAAATTAATTTCAAAAAGATTCCAAATTGTTGAATATTTATTTTTAAGCTTCTATAATTAAAAATGCATCTCATTAATTAAGGTAGTGTTAAACCTTATTAATTTATTTCAGGAAAGAAAATAGATGAAAAACATTTCTTACTCGTTTCTTGGTATTAGAAGATAAATTAAAAATAAAATAATT